AGCACGATTTGATTTAAGGATTTAAATACTCATGTGCTTGAATGTCTGGAGAATGGATTGTAAGGGGAATGAACGGTGCAGTAATGGATGTGAGGAGAGCAGTTAGAGTCAAGGTGACCTTAGACAAGTCTTTTGATCTCTCTGACCCTCAGTCTCTTCCTCTGTAAGATGAGGATAAGAAAACTCCCATAAGGGATATAATGACCGCATCACCCCCAATACAAAGTAGGGCCCCATTCAATACGGTCCTCTGTTTTCCAGGTGAAGAGCCCCAAGATGCCTCACTTGTGTTAAATTCCTCTTTCGGAACAGGAACTTTGATGGGCTTTGCTATTAAAACTCTGAGACTTTGGCTGATTGCACGAGGTGTCCAGAGACATCCCTGCCAATTAGAACGAAGACAGTTAAGTGATAGCAACATGCATAGGATTTTTCCTTTGCTTGGAGCTTACAGCCTGTTAGGGAGGCGTGTTTGCCCTGCAGGCTGGAGGCACAGAGTCGTAGCATGGGGGCTGTCGTCGCGGACAGCTGTGGGTGGCCGCTGGAGCGGCTGACGGTACGAGCAGCTGTTCTCCAGGAAGCAGTCCCTGCCTCTCGTAATAGGCAAATCCGCCAACGAAGCTGATGCCAGTCTGGGCGCTTCCGAGCAGCGGCCATAATGCGGCAACTGCTCTGTCTGCACACACACGTGATCTTATTCTAGACAAATGCAAGCGGCTCTCCAACGATCTGCTTTTCCTTTTACGGCTGTGCCAAGTGTATTTCGTGAAGTCGTGATGCCTGGTTGGAGACTGTGTTTTTGTTTTCCCGCCAGTGTGAACGGTTGTAGTGTAATGTTCAGGAAGGTCAGCTCAGGACCCTCGAGAGCACGTACCACGGACTCATGTCAAAGATTTTGTTAAACGGATCCGTTAAGGAGAGAACCAGGAAGATGTTCAAACTGGGTCAGAGAGCCTTTAAGAATCCAGGTAGCCACAGGCAATTGAATAACGATTATTAAATCTGGTTAAAGTCTGACAAGGTAATAGACCGTAACCGTTCAGGTTCTTTTCTTACTATACAGAGATTATTATTAACTAGAAAAAAAATCTACAAAATAACAGAGAACTTCACTAAATCCTGGCCTTTAATTTGTACTCTTTTTTTCCCCTAAGATTTTATTTATTTATTTGAGAGAGAGAGAATGAGAGAGAGCGAGCGTGAGAGGGGGACGCTCAAAGGGAGAAGCAGACTCCCCGCTGAGCAAGGAGCCTGATGTGGGACTCGATCTGGGACTCTGGGATCATGACCTGAGCTGAAGGCAGATGCTTAACGACTGAGCCACCCAGGCGCCCTAATTGGTACTCTTTATAAGAACCGACAATTCTCTTCCCTCTAAATGCTTCAGCTCTGCTAGACCCCCCAGGCTGGAAATGCACTTGTACCACATCCATGGGGCAGTCACTGAGTGACCAGACTAGCCGGGTCTTCTGGCCCATCTTTTGGACCTCGTGGTGGTCATTCCCATCAAAGGCCACCTAATGGGATGGGCAGAGAGTCTCAGAGACCCTCCTTTTTATCCTACTCTAGAAAGAAACAGGAGCTCTCATCTCAGCTGTGTGTCCTTTTATGCACACAGGACCCTTATCCACCCAATTCAGTCAAAAAGCCACCAATAAGCACCTGCCATGTGCCAGAAGTTGGAGATGCAGTTAGAGTGAGGAAGGTGTCCTCTTCCGGAGTCGGTGCTCTAGCCCGGACATAGACACCGAATAGATGATCATCACCTACTTAATGAATTATATGCCAATGTCATCAGTCCTGACACGGAAAAGCATTGAGCAAAAAAAAATGGAGAGAACTAGTGTAGTCTGAAGGACTCTGGGTGTCAAGGAATCCTTCTGCCAAGTAGGGACATCTAAGAGGAGTCTGGAAAGATGAGTGGGTCTGGTTCGGCACACAGCTGCTGACTCTCAGACAGAGGCAGCAGCCTGTGTGAGGGACTCAAGCCCACACAAAGGGTGTGCTCCTGTGGGGCTGATGAGGAAGTGATACCACGAGCCTGGAGATGTGGGCGGGAGTGGGATCTCTCAGGGCACCGAAGGTTTGGGCAGAGCACGGGCTACGGGGGAGCCGTGGAAAGCATAAACAGAGTGGACCACCACATGGTCAAAATTGGTATCTCCAAACACAAGCACACAGAACAGTGCTGTAGCTCATGAAATTTCAGCCAAGGTCGGCTGCCCTTATCTAAGGAATTTGTAGGTGGCCAAGGGGACACTTCATGAAGTCCCTCACACCCCGGAGGCAATCGGTGTTTATTAGCCCTAACTGGGCTCTCTGCTTTTCCGTGTAATCCGACACACTCACTCTGCCTACAATCGGTGAGCTTTGTGTCACCCCTCTCAGGGGAGGGTTTCAAGGATGGAAGAGGAGAAGCTCACTGGCACGAATGTCCTTCACAACACACACACCTCTAATGCTTCGGGACTGTGTTCCTTCTTTTTATTATTTTTTTTAATTAAAGATTTTTATTTATTTATTTATTTATTTGACAGAGAGAGAGAGAGGGATCGCAAGTAGGCAGAGAGGCAGGCAGAGAGAGAGGGGGAAGCAGGCTCCCTGCCGAGCAGAGAGCCCGATGCGGGGCCCCATCCCCGGACCCTGAGATCATGACCCGAGCCGAGCCGAAGGCAGAGGCTCAACCCACTGAGCCACCCCATGTGTTCCTTCTTTTTAAAAAGGAGTTGATTGCCAAGAATGTGTTTAAAAAAAAAATCTCAAGTTTCCATGACAAAGATTTTAAAACAAATGTACCATCCAACCAAGAGCTCGTGCCGAGGGTGATGGGGTGTGAGGAAGTGGGCCGTCTCATTCACAGTGGATGGAAGGGTACATGGGTCAGCCGTGTCTGAGGGCAATGAGGGCAGGGGGCGTCCTAAGGATTTCAGCCCCCTGGGCATTTCTCTGTGGAAATAAATAAGGAGCGTTGCAAATATCTAGCGAGAAAGACGATCTTCTCAGCACTGTTTGTAATAACTAAAAACTGGAATTAGCTAAAATGTCCCAGAACCAGGAAGAGCAACCATGTTCATCCTCACAGTGGAAAACAGTGTCACTGTTTAAAAGGATACTGAGAGAAGGAAGCTGCTCATGGACATGGAAAAATGTTCCTAACCTACTATTAAGTGAAAAAAAAAAAAAAAAGCAGATTGTAAAACCATGCATGAGGTTTTTAAAACACAACTGACCCTGCGCATAATAGGAACAAATAGGCACAAGATCCAAGAGGTGACGACCCCAAGGAGTGACAGTGGTCATCTGTGGCAGGCACTTCTGTGTTCTTCTATTTGCTTATCATTACTTTGTACTCTCTCTGTCCTGAACGTTTACTGCTTTTGTAGTAAGAAGAGAGTTCCAGGTACAGAACTTATTCCTGATCTCCTGGGACCTCAACTGCAGTAGATTTAATATGGGATTATCAGTGTCTGCACGCAGGACCTGACTCTACTTATGCTTCTTGGATTTACACGCAATAGTATTTCTCTAAATGCAAAGAGACCTCACTGTGTGCTTAAAACGATACTTTTCCGCAGCTGGACCTCCAATTCCGTTTTCGTAACAGAAAGACTTTACGCAAAAAAATAAATAAAAAGCAACACTCCTTGACAAACATAATGGGATAGCAGGTCAATTTGCTTTGTCTTATTTATAAACTGTATGTACTAGGAGCTAATGACTATCAAAGGTATAATTAACTAAATTTAGTCGAAGAAAGAAAAAAGCAACCAGAAGGCTAAATACCAAATGGTCTGAAAAGTTACCTCCGAGTGGTGGGATTATGGGTAGTTTTCACCTCTTTTTGCTTTTCTGAATTTCCTAATTTTTCTGTGAAAACTGTGCATTGACATAGTAACAGGTGGTCACGTTAAAACCCCGAGAAACAAACTGTCTTCATGTAATTACAGTAACAAAATCCAATAAGAAGGAGGCTTACCCATTGCTGTCCCTGAGGCAGGACCATGTGTGTGTCTTACAGGGAGAGAATGAATCTGAGAATTAGGGAGACTGACTGGGTTTCTTTCTTTCTTTTTAGGATTTTACTTATTTATTAGAGAAAGAGAGGATGAACATGGGTGTGGGGAGGGGGAGAGGGAGAAGGACAAACGGATTCCCTGCTGAGCGCAGAGCCCGACACGGGGCTCAACCCCAGGACCCCGAGATCATGACCTGAGCTGAAGGCAGATGCCTAACGCACTGAGCCACCCAGGTGCCCCTGACTGGGTTTTGATCCTGGTTGTGTGGCCACAGACTAGTCACTAACTCCCGTGTGTCTCCTTCCTCACTCCCCCGCTAATGAAGGTCGACTGAGCATCTCCCAGGCATCTGAATCTGCATTTGATGTTGGGGACTGAGCAGCAAATAAGGGAGATATGGTGGCAGCAGTCATGGAACTTAGAATCCAGTTCAGGAGAGAAATAACAACAACCAGACAAAGAGCACCGTGATCATTAGGACAGTAAACAGCCTTTACCAAGCACCTGCTAACGGCCAGGCTCTGTTCAGTGAGCTTTACGTACATAATAGCTCTTTTCATTCTTGCCACCACCACCCCCCACCCCGCCCCGGGAGATATTATCACTAGTCCCATTTAACGGACAAGGAAACTGAGGCCCAGAGAGAGTAGCTAATTTGCTCAAAGGCCCACAGCTAAGAAGTCGCAGAGCCAGGATTTCAATTCAACTACGTGCTCTGCTGCGCTGACCCACGCAGCTCGTGGTCGTCACAAGTGGAAACAGGGCCTGAGAGCACATTCAGGCGACTAGACAAGTTAGACCGCCCTGAGGACAGGACATTTCACCGGAGTCCCCAAGGATGGGTCAGAACGAATCAGGCAAAGAGTAGGGACAAGAGCCTGTGGGGTCAGGGAAACATTCAAATGTGTTTCCAAGCCAGTGGCCTTGGCGGAGTGGATGTTGGCAGCAGGAATCACAATGAGCTCTTTCTCCTCCCACCCCCAGACCCTCCTGGCCAGAGCACTTTTTGACAACCACCCAGACTGCTCCTACGAGCTGGCTTTCTGCAGAGGAGACATCTTGACCATTCTGGAACAAAACGTGCCAGAAAGCGAGGGCTGGTGGAAGTGTTTGCTCCATGGAAGGCAAGGTCTGGCCCCTGCCAACCGCCTCCAAATCCTCCCTGAGGCCCCCGCAGACAGGCCGTGTGCCCCTTTCCTGAGAGGCCTAGAAGAACCTCTCACCCGCTCCGAGGAGACCTACCAGGTGCCCACCCTGCTCAAGCCCCTGACTCCAGGCCCCGTGTACGAGGACATGAGAAGCTGGGTGGAGGGGCTTCCACCCACCACCGCCCAAGTCTACGAATTCCCTGACGCACCGGCGGGGGCCAGAATCGTCTGTGAAAAGACTCTAAGCTTTCCGAAACAGGTATGCATGTTTCCAGATAAAACAGATGCGTCGAGGGGTGTGTAACACCCAGGGGCTGACCTCACCCTTCAGTTCTTGGTGTCCATCAGGAGGAACCATGTGCAAAATGGGAACCTGGACCCCTTTGATTGGGTGATGACAGGTGGGCTTGTATTGGCCCCCAGTTTGCTTCTTGCTGATATTCTCGGCACCCCAGTGATTTCCCCCCACCCCACCCCGGCTCTCCAAGACGCCCATGCTTGGTGGGAAATTGAATGCTTAGCGGGAGTATTTATGAAAGTATTAAGGACCTTTGCCATGGCCCTTTGGACACTAGAACTTCTAGTGATGGGTTCAAAGGCAAGTTTCTTGGCTGAAGGGAATCTAGATTTAACATCTAGATTCCCTTCAGCCAAGAAACTTCCAGAATTACTACAGAAATACCCAAGGAGGCAAACATATATTTGAGTGGAGGAGGCCATGGCCATAATCGCACTTTTTGTTATAGGGAAAAATCGAAGATGCCTATATGTTTGTTAATGGGGGGACTGGTTATATCAATGTTTGCAACATACTGGGCACTTGTCGAAAGAAAGATGAAGTTGTTCTAGGAGGCATGTAGAAGGGGGAAAAATAACCATTTAAACAAAACCAACCAAACAAAAACTAAAAAAAGAAAAAGAAACCAGATGATCTGTGTGTATATATGTGTGTGTGCTCATTCACTGACTAAGGTTCCCTTGGGAAGTAGAGTTGGTCACTCATATCGTCCCTGTGCCTGCGACTGTGCCTGGCTTGGGGCGGGTGCCCAGTCAAGGAGCAGAGAGATCAGAAAGTTGGTTTGTGTATTATATACAGTATGTATGACATCAGCAGTTTTCAAAAATAGCAATTAAAAAGAAACAGAGGAAAAGAAGCACTAGGTAAATGCAAAATGAAAACTTTTTTTTTTTTTTTAATGGAAAGGAATTTAAAGAAGAAAGGAGAAAAACAATGGATTGCTGTCCCCAGGCCTAGGCTTTGATGAGGTGTTAAGCAAGCAGAACAGATTTTCATGGTCTGGGGTCACTATGGGGATTTCCTGAAGTTTGGTCTCACCTGGCCTGAGCTCAGGGCAGGGATCCTGGCAAGGTCTGTGTCCAGGACGGCTGCCACCCCCACACTGTCCCACCCCACCCCTGATGCACGAGCTGGGGACCCTGGGAAGGTCTTGCTAGCCTTCCCCACAGCACCTCCAACCACAGAAAGGTGTTGATTTCTTTTCTTTTTTTAAATTTGAAGGTATTTTGCTTTGTTTTGGTTTTAGATTTTATTTATTTGAGAGAGAGAGAGAGAGAGAGCATGAGAAAGGAGAGGGTCAGAGGGAGAAGCAGACTTCCTGCTGAGCAGGGAGCCGGATTCGGGTCTTGATTCCAGGACTCCAGGATCATGACCTGAGCCAAAGGCAGTCGCTTAACCAACTGAGCCACCCAAGTGCCCTGAAAGGTGTTGATTTCTTAAAATATTTTGAATACTTCAGATTTTCTAACCCCTGGGGCTGCCAGGCAGAGAAGTAGACATCATTTGTGCACAAAACAGCTGCGGTTCAGAGGGGCTGACTACAAAGCCCCATCGGAAGCGGGTCAAGCCTTCTGCAGCAGCCCACGAGGCGGCCCTGGGACAGCTGGCCCACCCAGCTGCTGCTGGAGCAGCTGACTCAGAGCAGGGGCCTTGGTGGTGGGCCCTCCCCTGACAAGTGGCCTCTGCTGAAGTTAATTTGGGCATCCCCCCTCCCTAAAAGGCAACCGAGGGCTGCGTCTGCTATTCACCAGCTGGCCCTGGCACCTGAGCCCTGGGCAGGCAGGCTCCTACCACTTGAATGTTTGCTAAATGAATGAAGTGACTGTGGACCCCAGCTTCTAGACAGGCATCACGATAAAGAGAAGGATGCATTTACTCTCTCACCCTAACTCAGCACAGGGTCAGGGCATTGGCTGGGAGATGTGTCCTTGACATGAAACGTGTCTGTGATGGGAGCCCTCCCCCATGCATGGCTGAGGCCGTGGGCAGAAACCACAGCCCGATGGGGGAATTCAGAAACCAGGGGCTCTTGAGGTGGGCCCAGTAAAACACCTGGGGAACTTTCCTGCCTTTTTCTCCTGTTTCCGTTTCCTCGGTGGCTGCCCCATCAACATTTCTGCTCCCTCCTCCCCAACGTTTTATTTGTATCGCCTTCTCTGTGCTTGGGGGCAGGGGGAGTCTCTGAGAGCAAGTGATGCCACCTGTGATTTGGAAATCAGCAGTACCAGAGGTCACCTGGCTTGTGGGGCAGCCACCGCCACAGTGGGAGAGTGGACCAGTCCCAACACCCCTCTGTACCTCTCTGTCTTGCCCATTTCTAAGGGCTCCTCAAAGTTGTGCCTTCTAGTGATTCTAAATAATTCCACTCCTTCTACCCCAAGAAGAAAGCAGCTAGAAAGAGTGGATGAAACCCAGTTCAGAAGCTTCTGCTCCACAGTAAAGGCAGACCTTGCTGCCCCGTCTGTGCAGTCGGGGGGTAACTCGGCAAATCCGGCCACTAGCTTTGAGCTGTTTTCCAACGGGCAGTTCACAGGCTGGAACTGGCCCAGGTGACCTGTTTCACAGACTGCCCTTAGCCCTGCATGATGACCACCAGATTAAGGTTAGCCAAAAATTAAAAACCAAGGAGGTGAAAATACGTCCCTTTTCTCAAGTTCTCTAATCAAAGAATCCACGTGTCAGGATCAGACGTCTGTGCTGCTGAAAGAGACCACGGTGGGTCCTGAGAACGACTCATCATGTTAGGAACGAGGGAACCAATTCCCAGGGAGGTGACGGGGCCCAGCCAGGGTCCCAGGAGGAGGAATTCCAGGGACCGAAGCTTCCCTGTGCCCGTGCGTGGCTGCCGATGCCCCTGGACTCGGCTTGCCCTTGTGCTGCCTTTTCCTAACTCTGTGGCGACGCTATCTCTTCTTCACAATTAGCTTTTTACTGAGACGTAACCTCCAGATCCTAAGGGGGTAGCTTAGTCGCTGGATCCAGGTGGAGAAACAGAACAAAAGCAGCCCCCCAGAAGCCCCTCACGATTTCTCCTGGTCACTTCCTCTAGGGGAACCACTGGCTTGAGCTTTGTTTTACTTTTTATTCCAACTTCCTTAATATAATATGCTGGCCTGACTTTTTTTCCTTTTAATCACCATACAAAGAACCCATTTGATGTTGGTTTGCATTCAGAAAGGGGAATCTTTCATATTTCAAGTAAAAAGGATCCAACTTCCTGGTGGAATTATTCTCAGACGCACTAGTTCTGAACTGGAATTTCCTTCTGTGCCCCTAAACCTTTTGAAATTGTGGTTCTAAAGCATGTTCCTTAATTGATTGCCACCTTGAACCAGCTTCCTCCACCTGAAATTCCACACCCAGGAAAACCCCTTTGTTCTCTGTGGGTGGTCTCCCCACAAAGTCAGCTACAGAAAGACAAGGGGCTTGGAGTTTTAGGGGGTAAGAGGCAGTGGGGGTGCATTTGGAAAAGCTCTGTGGTAGGGGAGAGCTTGGGGTGTCAGAACAAGCGGAGGTGGAGGTAAGGGACCATGGCCCTTTGTATACCGAGGGCTGTCTTGATGGGCTCTCTGCAAAACAGGGCAGTGCGTCAAGGGTCAGCCTCAGCCCAGACTGCAAAGCAGACTGCTCTCTCCTTGGGATGGGGTACATGGGGAATGTCCCATCTGATACCCCATGTTACAAGCTCCACGTTGGGGATGGAAAGCGAGCCTGCTTCTCTCACGAGAGCGGGATGTTCTCTTCTCACTGACATGACTTCAGTCTGCTGTGCTCCCGAGAGTCCAGGATTTTAGAGAACCAGCTTTCTCTGTGAGTACGGAAGAAGTCATCACTTGCCCGAAGGTTATTTGGACACTTGACAGCTGTGTTGTGGGAAGGAATGTCTGCCCGTTTGCTTTGCACCTGCTTTATCTGCATCCATTATTCCAGCCTGACGGGTGGTGGGACCTGCTGGTCCCCCACCTCTGCCTCAAGCTGTGCACTTTCTTTTACCCAAAACAAGCAAATAAATAAGAAGATACTCGCATTTCCTTCATGCCATGCGGGGTCACCCTGGTGAGCAAAGGGACTCTGATCCTGTCCTCATAAGCTGCTCCGCCACCGGCCCTCCCCGTCTGCACAGACTCAGGTCCTCACCAGCCACGCCATCCAATTCAGAAAGCCCTATCCAGGGACAGGTTCCTGGGGACCTGGTGGGAAACGCAGGCTCCCTCTGCCAGCCTCTCCGGGCTTGACCCTTTCCTCTCCTCAACGCCCTGTCTTGCTTTCCAGCCTGTGTCCTGCCTGTGTCCACACATTATTCCTCCCCTGTTAGAACCTGACCCTGACACACAGCACCCATTCCCCTATAAAATCACCCATTCCCGGGCCCCTCCTGGAGACGACGTCCTTGTTTGAGAGAGGTCTGATGTGGAGCTGGGCAACTGTATCATTCTGAAGTTCGCCCCGCCGTGGTTTCCCTGGCCAGGTCTGGAAGCTGCAGTGGGGAGCAGCCAGCGTGGTACCCGGTGTGGGGACACTCATGACTTCTAGAGGATTCACTGGAGTCCAGTGATAGACACAGCCACCATGGCTGAGGGCCACCATTGGTCCCGTCTCCTCCTGCTGCCCCATCGACCCTCATCCCCAGCGACACGTCCTGCGAGAGGCTCCCTGCCCCCTCCCCACCCCCACAAGTCCCTCCACTTTACACCCGGACCCACCTGCCTGTCCCGCGCACCGCGCCGGCCCCTGCGCCATCAGATGAATAGTTAACACCCCAGACTCGAACCACAGCCTCGATCCCTCGAGAATATCAGAATCACCTGGGAAGTTCCCTGATACTGCAGATTCCCAGGCTCCCCGGCAGGACTCAGAGACCCCAGTACCCCGGACGCAGGGCCCAGGAATCTGCATTCTAGCCTGCTTCCCAGGTGGGGCTGACGCAGGCAGCTGTGGGCACCCCGCCACCACGGGGCCTCTCCCTCCACCGCCCAGGCCCACGGTCGGAGTGAAGGGCCGCCAGTCAGGGGTGGGCGCAGGGACAGGGCCTCTGCGCTGTCTGTCGGGGCTAACTTGGAACTTGATCTGTGGACTCCGCGGTGACGTCTCCTTCCCTCGGCTCTTCTTTCTCCAAGGCCCTCTTCACGATGCCCAGACCTGCTCGGGCCTCGTTGCCAACGCTGCCTTCTCAGGTGTACGACGTGCCGGCCCAGAGCCGGGGCCCCCCAGCCCTGAAGGTGAGTGTTGGCCTGGCCCGGCTGTGGGGTTCCCCTAGGCAGGCAGATTGTTTTTCTGCATTGGGGCAAGCTGCGCCCCGCCTCTCCTCTCCCCGCACCTGCCTCCCCCCACCACCCCACCCCGTGGCTGAGCGTCTCTCACCCACAGGTGCCAGGTTCCCAGGGGGCTCCTCCCTAGGGTTGGGGGCGGCCGGTCATCTCCAGTCTCAGCCTCCTGAGATATCCCACACTCCTTGCTCCAGCTCACGTGTGATTGCCTCTGGCCCGTGGATGAGCACACGCGCTCCCTTCTCCAGGACACAGCTGTGCCAGCAGAATGACCTGGCCTTGGGCACAAAAGTCTTAAATAAAGACACACACGTGCAGGACTCACCTCACCTCACCCTTGCCCTCTTGACCCTGTCTTTACTGAAAATGGTGACATTTTGTTCATCTTGAGTTTTTCACATTGTGATTTTTTTTAATGTCGCATTCCATTATTATTTATCTTGATGACCAAGAATTTGCGGGGGGGGCCTCAACTGTTGTGGCCATGTTCTTCACCCTGATCCCTGCCCAGGAACAGGCCATCCCCAGCACAGCCACCGGATTCTCACCCTAACCTTTGCCCAAGCTGGAGTTAGCCCCTGTGCACATCGACCCCACACCCAGGTGTCACAATTCATCAATGAAGGTCCTGTTGGTGCCCTTTCCACTCTGCTTCAAGGGAATGAAATGCATCCCACCCTTCCCCTGTGGGGAGGAATCAGTGGGAAACTCACAGGTCAACTTTCTCCAAAGAAAACCCCTATCCAGAGTCCAGCTCTTTCTTTTTCTCTCTCTCTCTCTCTTTTTTTTTTTTTAAGATTTTATTTATTTGTCAGAGAGACAAAGAGCACAAGCAGGGGAAGCAGCAGGCAGAGGGAGAAGCAGGCTCCCCGCTGAGCAAGAAAACTGACATGGGACTTGATCCCAGGACCCTGAAATCATGACCTGAGCCGAAGGCAGACGCTTAACCGACAGAGTCACCCAGGCGTCCCAAGAAGGCATCTTTTTAAAGCACAAAGTCCACATTGTTGAAAACAGAATTACATAAACTTCCACCATGCGAACATCATGACCAAAAGCCCCAAATTCCTTGGTGATTTCTGTTTTCATTTGGAAACAAAACAAAACAAAAACCAAAAAATTGCTGGTGTGGGCAGAATTTGTGATGTGAGTCCATCAGGAAGGAAAAATCCAAGTTATCCTTTTCTGTCTTTCCCCCAGGAGCCAGAGAAGAGGCAATTATATGATATACCCCCCAGCCCCCAGAAGGCAGGACTGGGTCCCTCGGCCAACCAACTGAGTGTGAGTATGACGAGGCACAGAGATTTGATGCTGGGAAAATGGGAGCATCCTCTGGGATGTTTTATTAGCCTGGTCAGATTGGGAAGGCAAATTCCTCATAGTAGAGCTGATTTCATTTGAAATCCCCGATGGCAGCGGTGTTCAGGAACAAGGTGAGTAATGTGGTTTGGGCAAGTCCTCTACCTTCTCTGTGCCTCAGTTTCTCATGACGGACTAATTGCGAGCATTGAGACAATCCCCGCAGACGACCCAGTACAGGTGTAGTGCTTTGCACGGAGCAGAAGCTCAGTAGATCTTAGGTAAATGCCTCCTCCTCTCCTTCTCCTTCTCCCTCTCCTCCTCTTGACTTGGTTAGTCTCTGAACATCCACTTCCTGCTGACAAAGAGCAGAACTCTGTATGGGGTCACATGTAGTTGTTATTGCTGAATTTTTGTAAAGTTTGGCTCTGGCTCCAAAATGTCCTAGTAATAGTATATTCATCCTGACAAATAATTATACCTTAACCTATCAAAGGCTTCCTCCTCCTCTTCCTCCCCCTTCCTCTGCCCCTCCTTCTCCCCTTTTCCCCCTCCTCCTTCTCCTCCTCCTTCTTTTTCTTCTTGGTCCCCATCTCAGAGATATGTTGCGTTAAGGTAGATTTTTATGTGTTTATAGGGGACATGCCTTAATTTGAAAATCTGGAATCCACGTTCATCGTTGAATTGTCACACATTTACAGTACATATACCTACTCCCAAGTGTTCTGGGGGAGGCCTTACAAAAGAGAAGTCATCTCCGCAGTATCGTGAGGAACGTAGAGGAGGTTGTTGGAGGGAATGGAAAGCGTTAGGCGGCCACGTAGCACAGAAGGACTAGTTTGAGCAAAATGAACCATAGTGGGCTAAGAGGGCCTCTGGGTTCAGGGGAAGTGAACCGCCGGGGTGACTGGACCCCTAAGGAGGCTGGTGCCTGCCCTGGTGGGGAGGCTTCAAGGCGGGTACAACCGGTTAATGAAGGGCCTTGAGTGATCATGACAATGGGGAGCCACTGAAGGTGCTTGAGGAGGGGAGTGACAATCAGATTTCTAAGAAGCACAATACCCAGCACTCAGTAGGCCCTCAGCGTGATGTACATTTGTCACATGGGTTGCTCGAATCCTCTTTTTATGCTTCTGACCTGGGCATTTTTGTGTGGTTCTTCACAGGGACAGTGTGCTCCCCTGACATCAGTGATGGCCACGAGGCGAGGTGGCTACAACACGTTACCCAGCCCCCAGAAATCAGAATGGATTTATGACTCGCCAGTGTCTCCAGAAAAAGCTGACGGCAGAAATGCATCTCTGTGCAGCTTTGTGGAAGAGTCAGAGCCCCTCTGTCCCCCGGGGCACATGTCCAGCTTCCAGAATCCTCTAAACAGCAGAGCAAGGTCCCACTATCCGCACCTGCATAAAAACGTGCCCATGCAGAAAAAACTCAGCCTCCCCGAAATTCCTTCCTATAAAGCCCTGGCACCCAGGGACACATTTCCCTTGGACGACGGTGCCGGCTACAAGGTGCCCTCAAGCTTTCTGATCCCCCGGGTGGAGCAGCAGAACACCAAGCCGAACATCTACGACATCCCTAAAGCGACGCCCAGCGACCCTCAGGCGGGGAACGAGCCAGGGAGAGCGGGCGGGGCTCCGGAGATCGCCGTGGACCGCAGCTCGTCCTGGTTCTCCAGCCCGGCCCCCTCGCTGTCTCCGGACCCGGACCGGCTCTCCGTCTCCAGCTCGGACAGCAGAGCCAGCGTGGTCTCCTCGTGTTCCTCCACGTCCACGGACTCCTCGTCTGGTTCCTGCTTGGAGGAGTCAGGAAAGGAGCTCTCCTTGGACCCGGACTTGGCCAGAGAGACGGTCGCGGCTTTGCAGCACGAGGTGGCCAGCTCTGTCGCCAGCCTGATGCTCTTTGTCAGCAGGAAGTGGAGGTTCCGAGACTACCTGGAGGCCAACCTCAGCGCCATCCGCAGCGCCGCCGACCGCGTGGAAGAATCCTTGAGAGCGTTTCTGGATTTTGCCCGCGAGGTCCGTGGGACCGCCTGTAACCTCAGCGACACGAACCTTCAGGCCAGGATTAGGGACCAGCTACAGACCATCTCCAACTCCTACCAGATCCTGCTTGGGACAAAGGAAAGCCTGGATAGCTGCAAGTGGTCCTTGGAAGTCCTTGTGACGGACAAAATCCAAAACAGCCCAGATAACCTCGAGCGATTTGTCATGGTGGCACGGATGGTTCCAGAAGACATCAAGAGGTTTGCCTCCATTGTCATTGCCAATGGGAGGCTCCTTTTCAAACAGAACTGTGAAAAGGAAGACACCTTGCAAATGACCCCCAATGGACAACTGAAACTTGCAAAATGCATCCAGCTTCCCCAAAGGGAAATTGAACGGGATGAAAGAAATACTCCTTTTAATAAACGAAAGGAAAATGAACACTCCCCTGAGCTACTAAAGAAAAATGGGACAATTATGTGTGAATCGGTGAGTTCAGGGTGGTATAATATAAGGAGGCTTTCAAATTTTATCTGGAGTGGTTGCCCATCAGTTAGATGCTAAGAAGCTTTCACTAACTGTTAGATAGTTCAATAATTGGATATTGAAAGATACTCATCTTTCAATAATTTTTGAGAGACATTGGTTCCATTTTTTTTTTAAATGAAATTCATGAAAGTAATGTTCTAAATGAAATCTTATTAAGAAGTAAGATTAAGGGGTGGCCTGAGTGGCTCAGTGGGTTAAAGCCTTGGCCTTCTGCTCAGGTCATGATCCCAAGGTTCTGGGTTTGAGCCCCACATTGGGCTGTCTGCTCAGTGGGGAGCCTGCTTACCCCTCTCTCTCTGCCTGCCTCTCTGCCTGCTTGTGATCTCTGTCTGTCAAATAAATAAATAAAATCTTAAAAAAAAAAAAAAAGATTAAACACTTTAATATTAAGGCAGTAGGATGTCTTCTGGAAAGCCCCATGGGGTAATACTAGAGTTAGGAAGGACTTTGAAAACCTTTTGAAATCTGTTCCTTGAGCCCCTTTTTAAAATCTCACCACCCAGTTTCCTTGCATTTTTGAAAGCTGTTGATTTAGTCATTGTTTTTGTGTTTCTTAGAAACAGAAGAGGAAGTGTAAACACCCTTCCAACTGCCTATGGTCTTAGCAGCCTCCAGACTGCAGCTACTGTTAGAAATTCTTTGCTGCATGAGTTTGGACTCTGTAGAAAGAGAACCTCTCGTTCAAGGATTGCGAGAGCCAAGAGGCATGGCACGTAACCTGGGGATAACATGACTTGGCCCTTTTAGCCCTAGTCGTGCATAGTGTTTTGTTAAAGTGCATGCTGGTTAATATTACAGCTTTCACACATTCTAGAGAAGCTAGAAATTTGGGTATTTCTCATTCCCTAATTTAAAAATATAGACATAGATATAAAGCAGTATAATATACATAAGTATAAATACAAATATAAATGTATATATAATTTTTTAAAAATTCATATGTCCTTGTATTAAGCCGTGTTGGTAGGCAAAGTTCAGACCTTGGTCTTGCAAAGTCTCCTTTGTTGAAAAAAGGCATCAGCCCTCTGAAACTAATATATTAATATACTACATGCTAATTAATTGATTTTAATTTAAAAAAGGCATCTGGAGGCAGAACCACTGACAAAAATATAAAGAGAAATGTTCAAGTTTTTAAAAATGGACTTAAATACTTCTGTACAGGGATGCCTGGGTGGCTCAGTAGGTTAAAGCCTCTGCCTTCAGCTCTAGTCATGATCCCAGGGTCCTGCGATCAAGTCCCACATCGGGCTCTCTGCTCAGCAGAGAGCCTGATTCCTCCTCTCTCTCTCCCTCTCTGCCTCTCTGCCTACTTGTGATCTCTGTCTGTCAAATAAATAAATAAAATCTTTGAAAAAAAAATACTTCTGTACAGTGTAAAAACCACTCACATTGGTAATTGGAAGAGATTTCATTTTTCAGAAGTTGTCTAACCTAGAAGAGACAGAAAAACCCATCTCAGAAGGAAGGTTGGATGAAAACAAAAACTTGGAAGGACAGGTAAGTGATAGCGCTGTGTCTCCCAGACTTCTGACTCACACACTTTTTATCCCTTGAGATACCTCCTGCTATGAACAAGTTGGCATGCTAGTCATTATCCCCTTGGGAGTAGCTGTTTTTGTGACAGTTTTTCCTGTTTGAGGTAGAAGGAGCCCTGAACAAGTCCAGTGAACCCCAGGACATGGAGCATGAGTCTTGAACCATTGTGACATAGTTCTCGGCTGTCTGCAGGTTTATCACAGGTGGGACTGACCTGACCTTTGGCAGCTCGGACTCACACTCCCTTTGACATCCTCTTTTAATGCTTCTGATTACAGTAGAAAAGATATTTTGGTTTGGAGCTTGTGTATCATCAACACCTTTTGGACACTTGATGTTTCTTTTCCTTCCTTTTTTTTTTTTTTTTTTTAGTCAAAGATGTTATCATTGTGCTTATTTTTATTGGTTGCCTTCTACTGGTGGCAAATGACAATGATTTTCCAGTTACCAATTTGAAGCATTTCCGTTAAACAAATATAAGTAAAACCAGTGAATTCCTTTAAGGACAAAGATGAAGCAAGTCAGGTTAAAAGGGAGACAAAAAGGGCATCACTTGTGAAATTTGTCTGAGTACCTGAAACCTGGGATCACTGAACCAGATCAACTCCCCGGCTGGGGGTGGGTGGGGGTGGAGGAGGGAGGAATGATGTCTCATGACATGGACAAGATCGTTCATTTTCTTGGGGGCAAACTGGGACAAGAACCCCTAGGAAGTCCTAGGTCAGGGAGCCAGCATGGTCAGATCCTGGGGAGGGCTCTCCTCTGTCTTCTCCTGTCCTCTCGTGCAGAGAGCAGAGAAGGGAAGTGACCTCTGACAAGGGCACTATTCCCATCACGAGGCCCCACCCAAATGGCCTCATCCAATCCCAGGTACCTTCCACAGGCTCGTATCCTACTACCTTCATGTTATGGGGTAGAGTTTCAACAAAGGGGGGGAGGCACAAAAAAATCAGACCCTCACACTGTCAGTGCTTCCAAGCTATGAATTTTGAGATCGAAGGTAGTTGAGAGAGAGCAGTTTAACAAAAAGACTTAGCTGGCTCAATTTAGAGCTCTGGCTCTTCATTTTGCTAAATGAATGACCATGGGCAGGCCCCCCACTTCAGAGAGCTCCAGTCTCCCCACCTGTCCTAACAAAGGGTCTTTGGATGGTTACCTGGAGTGGCTGCCTGTAAGCTAGATGCTGAGAACCTTTCAACAGTGCCTAGGCTTTGGGAGGACACTGGTTCCACATTTTGGAAAATACAACTCATGGAAGTAAAATTCTAGATGAAATCTTATTAGAAATTTGGAGAAATATCATAACATTAAGGGAGCTAGGTCAACATACTTGGATTTCTTCTAGAAATTTTGGGGACTCAGGTTTACTGCTGATAACAGAATTAAAGATTTTTCTTAAATCCTTTAAAATATGTTCTTCGAGTAAATTTTAAAATCTCACCATCAAGTTTTCTTTTATTTTTTTTAAGTTATAGATTTAGACATTGTCTAATGTTTTATCTAATGGAATGGGCAGCTAATGGTTTGTTGGGAGTACTAAATAAGATTTTATATACTTAATATGTGAAATTATATAGACAACACAATATGTAAGATTGTATATATAAATATTATAATTCATATGTTAACAGTGCTTTGAAAAGATTAATTTGTTAGGCACATGGTGCACTGCGGAGCTTCCCAAACAAAACTGTGTTTTTTCTTATAAAAAATCTAGAAAATTGAGCAAATGTGGAAATGGGAGACAACCACAGCCTGGTGATCAAATCTGTCTCTTACCAATGGTTTTCTTCCCTTTTCCAGAATCCTAACTCCCTCATCCTGCAGCCTTTGAGTCAACAGAATCCTGAGAAGAGATTCCAACTTTCTGAACACTGTCGGCTCTATTTTGGGGCGCTCTTCAAAGCCCTCAGCGTATTTAACCACAGCCTCTGCAACAGCCAGCCCCCCGAGGTCTTCATCACACAGAGCAAGCTGGTCATCATGGTGGGGCAGAAGCTGGTGGACACGCTGTGCAAGGAGACCCAGGAGAGGGATGTGCGCAACGAGATTCTCTGCGGCAGCAGTCACCTGTGCAGCCTGCTCAAGAACCTCGCACTGGCCACCAAGCACGCCGTGCTCAAGTACCCCAGCCCCGCAGCCCTGGGGCACCTGCAGGCCGAGGCCCAGAAGCTGGAGCAACACACTCGGCAATTCAGAGGGACGTTAGAATGAGCCTCCTTCCCCCTTTTTCTCCTTCTTAACCTCTTAGCCTCAGCTTTCCCAGCCTGACATGTGCAACTCTGTCTTACAGGCAAAGCCAACCTGGGGACGCACCAGTGAGTACAAGCTGGTATTATTGAGTGGCTAAACAACCCCAGGACATTGACTTAGCCCAGAGAAGTCCAGGTATTAAGAAAGAACTTTGCGGAGTTTTTAGTGTAGCCTGTGGGGTCAGTGTACGCAGGGATGTTGTAGAAACCAATTTTATATTGGTCAAATGTATGCCTGCCTTAAAATCATTCATTCAGGACTTATTTATTGGGCATTTACTTATGTAATGGTAGGTGCTGGGCATATAGCCGTGAATCAGAGACCTTGCCCTCAGGGAGCTTACAGTCTAGTGGGGAGATAGACGATAAATGATAAAGAATTACATGCACAAATTGTCAGGTGTTAGCAAGATGGTAAAGGAGGAGAGACTAATTCTCAAATGATGAATTTCTGTTGCATCCATTAGCAAATGTGATAAGTTTTTCATTTTGAATTGAATTAAGTCTGTAAGATTTGGTACAAATCATGTACCTGCATCTTATACAACATATATATATATATATATATATATATATATATATATATATGCTGTTTTACCTTAACTGAGTTAAAGATACACCTTATATTTACAACATAACGTGTTCTGTTGGGTTCCTTATTAATTTATTTTGTATATAACAGTCTATGTTGATAAATTCAGTATGTTTACTCAGAAAAGGCTTTTATTACAACAGTCGCCGATCTGTGACCATTTGTAATATTATGTAAATATAATCATGAACTGAAGCATTCTCTGTAGCAATCCTCTCTTCGGAAAAGTTGGTGATCCTTGTCACCCAGGTTCTGATATCAAAGCGAAGCCACCCATGTTTACTTTTCTTATTCAAATGTTTCTCCCCAAAGTGTGCAAGGAGATGCCATAGAGGCCAGGTGCTCATGCACAAGGCTAGTGTGGCAAAAACAAAGCCATCACTTGTGGTGAGGCAACGGGAGGTGTGGTGTGGACAGGATACCCATTGCTGGGCACAGATCTGAAAGCGGTGCAGAGCTCACCTCAAGTCAAACCACCTGCTCTTCCTCTCCTTGCGGCTGGGTCTTCAGCTCATGTTGCTATGGTGACACCATCTCTACTTTGTTTCAAGTGAAGGTCCATGTCTCCTATATACATCTCAGCCACTAAACACCTTTGTAACCTGGAACCAGCATCCTCAGGCTGGAAGTCATCTGAAATGTCACCAGCCTGCCCGCTACTCTGCACTTAGCAGGCACTTCTAATGGTTGATTGTTAGAAAGCTGGTTGTTTTCACCGAGTTGCTCCTAGGGTCTCTAAAGAAGGATCACATCTTTGTGAAGCTTGCTGGGTTCTCTACACTAGAACAGAGATGCCGCATTCTTTGAACAGCTGTGATCTGTATCGGCAAGAACTCCTATTGCAAGTGATCAAAAACTATATCCAACTTTTCTTATGCAATAAAGGAAAGTTATTGACTCAAGTGTCTTAAAATAACCCAGGGACAGACTGGCTTCAAGGACAGCTGGTGTGGGTTGCCCAGTTTTTCAGTCCCACTTTCTCTGTGTTAACTCTCATGATTGCAAGGTGGCTGCCCCAGGTTATGTCTTTGGTTTGTGGCTGGAAGAGAAGAAAGAGGCTTGATTCTACTTGGCCTAACTTAGAGCAGGTGCCTGCCCCTGAAATCCCCAGGACAAGGAGAGAATGTAGTACTCAGGTTGACCTAGACTTGGGATTCACCCCTCCCCATGTGTACATGCATGCGCGCACGCACACACACACACACACACACACACACGTCCTGAGAGAGGGAAAGAATAGCCTTGCCAAGAGCTATGACATGTCTGGGATCCCCCTGCTTTCAATTAACAAGTTAGCCTGCCACTTTCATGGGTGTTTCAAGAAGACATAAGATTCTGGGGTCAACAACTATGTCTGGGGTCCCCAAGACCATGGCTGGTCCAGTGATTCACAAGGAGGAATCCCAAGACTCAGCATTGTGTTCCTACTCATGGCTCTGATCTAGTATAGTGAAAAGAGAAAGCAGAGGGAAAAGCTCAAAGAGTTTGGTACAAAGGAAACCAGGCTGAAGTGGCCAAGAGTCCTCTCTCTGCAGTCACAAGGGTCACTTTTAATTCACTCAGCAACAAATTGTGACAACATCCGTGAGATGTTGCCAGCCAGGGAAGGTCACGAGAGCCTCACCTCCAGGACTCCATGGGGCTGATCGTGTCGGCAGTCTCTACATGGTACATTCCCGAATTCCAGACTCTCCAAAGGCAAGCAGGTGTCCAGTATGAACCACATTGTGTGTACAAACAGTTTTGGCACGTGGACCCATTCTCAACTCCAGGGATGGTGGGAACCCTCCCCAAATCCAAGTTTTTACAAACAACCAAAGGCCATCCTGGCAAGCCAGCCTTTCTAAGAATATTATTTAGGCTTGCTATGTCAACTCTTCCGCCCAGAGACCTGGGATTATCCTTATAGCCTTGCAAGCAGCTTATGCTTATATCATTTCCACCTCACCCCATGTCCCAGGGCAGAGCAAAAGAGGGCACGGGTGATGCCACACGCACACTGAATTTGTGCCAAAGCCAAAGAACTTAGCACAGGCAACCCCAGTCTTTCTTAGCAGCCTCTGCGCAAACCTAACCAAGACTTACCTTAGAGGCAGACAGGATCTTTACGATACTGGACAGCAAGCAAACCTGCCTTTGTGCTCTGGAGAAAGACACAATCTCTGTCTTCTAAGGCTGTTTGCTGAAAATCACCTTGAAGGGGTAATTCAGAACAAAATTTCATCAATGCCTGTGCTGGAAGGACATGCAGGGTCAGGGACGGTGCAGGGAGGCACTAGTACTTGTATTCCAGCTGGCAAGATGATTTTTGCACCATAGTAATAACAATAGCATGTATTTATTAAGGGACTACTACATTCCACATCCTGTTTTAATGCTTTATCTGTTTTAACTCTTTTGGTCCCTCATACGTGAGAGGCTCTAACAGGTAATCAACAGATCCCCATTGCTTTCAGAATACCATCGATGTATGTACGCAGATAGGCAGATCAATATATATGGAGACATATCTGTCTATGTAACATTTGGGAGGGGGTTCTCTGCATATATTTTGAGACGAGTTCAAACCAACCAGTTCAAGCCTTTGTTGATAAAATACAAAACAATTGGGTTGAAAATAATGAAAGCTGCTGCTCTTAGCTAAATGTGTTTCCTTCCCTTTTTTTTTTTTTTTTTTGAGGGAGGGCAGTTATGAGATGAGTTTCCTTTAATTCGATAGGATAATTGTTTCTGAAAAACACTGAAAACTAATATCACAGTTTGTAACTTTTAGCAATGTTTTGCTAAGTAGTTTTCTTTTATGCCCAGAATTCTGTGCCGCTTCCTCTCAAAGTAGGAAGAGGAAATGGTGGGTGGTGTGGTGGTGATAGCAACTTGACCTCAATTAAGCTGAATTTCATCAGGAGGATGGAAGTGGTGAGGGACCTCGTTGAGAGATCTTCCGTGTGACAAGCACCGGGGAGCCATGTTTCTGGTTTGGGGGCAACTATCCTTCTTTTTTTTTTTTTTAATAAAACATCTCTTTAAAATTTTATATTCTCCCCAAGGATCCACCCAGGTCTCCAAATCTGTCCATTTACAAAGGTTGCCCATTTGTGTAGGTGGTTTGCTAATGCCCTTTTCCTTTCTTTTATTCCTTGAACAACTATTTATTGCACATCTCCTATCCACCAGGCCTCTACTGATCACTAGAGCTGCTACAACCAGTGCAAAGAAGTCCATGTTGAACAAGATACCAAAATTTAGATTTATAACATGAGGTCAGTGGCGTAAGTGCAATGACGAAATTCAATCAAGGTGGTGGTAGTGGATGGAGGAATGGGGTGGGAGTGCTCTTTTACTGGGAGAGGTCAGGGACGAAGCTCTACGGAGACACCACCCACCCCTCCTGCCAGGAGCAGACACTGAGTCACTTAAGGGAGGCAGTCTGGAAACCAGTGGGAAAAGAGTGCTCCTGGAGAAGGAACAGCAAGGCAAGTACCCAGAAGTGGAAATGAACCTGGAGCTCTCAAGGGAGAGAAGGGGCCAATGTGGCTGGAACCAAGAGAGGAAAGGGAACATGGGTGATATCAGCTGGGATAGGTAGCCAAAGGCCAGTTCATGAAAGGCCTGTATATTCCTGAAATACGTTTAATGTTCCCCTAAAACTGAAAATCAAAAGTAATTGCTTTTGGTCTTGAATTATGTCAGGATGAATTACTTCTAGCTTTCCACTTTATTTGACTTTAACCCTCTTTGGGACAACCTCAGAAGTGTCACCGTACATGATGGTTGTGATACTCTCGAAGAATCCTAACACACAGGCTTTTGTCATTTTTTTCATGCTAACTCTTAAAATGAGTCACTCTGCCTGCCTGCCTTGTCCAGACAGAATTGTAAACTCCAGGTATGGGAGAGCACATGGGCAGCACTCACTGGAAATCAAACCCTCAAGGTTCAGGAGGCTGAAACATTTGGGAAAGATTGTAATAGGCAGTAGGAGCGCTTAAAGTACTTGTTCTTAGCCTGAGCCTCAGCATGGGAAGCATGAAATACATAGATGTGTAAACGGTAGCAAAATTTTCTATGTACTACTGGATATTTTTCTGGAGAGTAAGTCCAAAGTTTTCATCAAATTCTCTATCAGGTCCAATGACACCAAAGAGGTTAAGAAATACTGGTTTTGCCAGAGGATGATGGTTTTCTCTTTCCTGGTTTTATTCCTCTCCTGTCCTTTAAATCCACAGTTCAGCTGGGGCAAATCGCAAAGATCCTTGCAAGGGAATATACTGCATTAATTCATTCTGCAAAAACAATGGAAAGTAACAGCAGCTAATGACACCAGTGTGTCACCGTGCCTGGAACAAAACAGCTCAAGTCACGGAGCTGACACTCAGCCAGCTCTCAACACAAATTAGTTGCTGTTGATGATATTAACTCTACAAACCTTAAGCTGTGTATTGTCTGCAGCACAGAGTAGCCTAAAAACCAATACTCTAAATGAGGACACCAAGGAGGAAGAGAAAAAAAAAATCCAGCTGCCAGAGCTTCAGCATCCACCCAGCTGGCCCTGCGGGGCGCCACAGCTTTTGGGGAGAGGCTAAGGAGCATGGCATAGTCACAAGGGCCTCATCTGAGAATGCCTCCCAACCTGCACTCCTTTTACTCAACTGCTGTGTGCCCCTGACCCAAGATTATACACCTCAGTCTCAGGTCTGTCATTTGGGAAATGGAAGGCATTATATGCCCTATGTCCTAAATTACAAAGACAGAGGAAGCAGTGCCTCCAAGTCCCCCAGTGGAGTCATGGTTTAATAAAGAGTGGTTATTTTTATTTTAATTTCTCCAAATGAACTTGGTGAAGGGAAGATTAAGTTGCCAGAAAAGAGCACTGGTTTGAGAGTCTGTCTAAAGATCTTTGCATTTATGGTATTCTGTAACCTGACTTTCTGTCCTTCGGGGACAG